ATTTCTCTGGATCTATTTTGTTCATCAGTTTATTTTATTAGATTTCACATATAAGTGAGATCATGTAATATTTGTCTTTCTCTGACTGGCTTAGTTCACTTTGCATAATACTCTCTACGTCTCTCCATGCTGTCTTAAAGGGTCAGAGATCCTTCTTTTTTACCTCTACATAGTATTCCATTGTGTAAAGTGGATGGTTTTTATACTTTAACTCTTTTGCTGATACTCATTTTGAAATATGCCAGTTTTCTTAACTTAAAAAGTAATAATTAATAAAAAATTACTTATATTACCTCAAACATATGGTAATACTGGAATAAATCATAATGAAAAACTAGCACCCAGAATGTAGGGGTAAAAAAACTGTTGGCTTATAGCAACTTATTTCACTGGCTTTGAGATTTGTTCTTCATAACAACGGGCAAAACAGTTGTAAAAATCTAAACAATATTGTGTTCATCTTAGTGTAATAATATACAAGTGAGGTATTTCTCTTGAGTTAGTAATTATGAAGAATTGGAAGTTCCATTTATAGCTATGTACTTAGAGCCAAATACATATCTATCAACAATTGAATCTAAAAATCAAATGAATAAAAAATCTGATGAACAGAATAAACTGGTAAATGCAATAGAATCAGGGGCATGGAAATGGAACAAACTGATGATTCTCAGATGGAAGGGAGTGTGGCGGGGGGAGTGGGAAGAAATTATACAAAGATCTTATATGCATGTATGCATTACCTATGGACACAGACAATAGGGTGGCGAGGGCCTGGGGTTGGGTGAGAACCAGGTGGAGGGGAGCAATTGGGGGGCGGGGGGAGATAGGTATCTGTAATAATCTCAACAATAAAGATTAATTTTTAAAAAGTCAACTTTATTACTGAAAGTCCTGACGGAAAACAAACTTTGTTATGAAGACTCTGGGATTCTCTAGTCCCCAGTCTCTTTTTCCCTTCACTCAGTGGTTCTCAACCTTCCTAATTCCGTGACCCTTTAATACAATTCCTCATGTTGTGGTGACCCCCAACCATAAAATTATTTTTGTTGCTACTTCATAACTGTAATTTTGCTACTTTTATGAATTGTAATGTAAATATCTCATATGCAGGATTATTTTCATTGTTCACGACCCACAGGTTAAGAACCGCTGCTTCACTGAAACAATTGATTTTATAGCATGACTTTGGAAAATGAAGGTTTCTTCAAAACATAAGGATTCTTTTATAACAATAGGTGGCACAATGTGACATTAATAGTGTATATGAGACTACAAAGGGACAGGTGGGAGGATTTGTGGATATTTGAGCCATTTCCTTTAAACCTTGTGATTTTGGCTTACAAGCCGGCTTTTAGCTTATCAATGATTCATTCTTTTTTGATGTTTAAAAACAGAAGGATGAAAAACAAAACAAAACAAAACAAAACAAAAAAACAGAAGGATGATTTTTTTGTTTAAAATTTATATTAAGCAACAAGTAGTTGAGCTTATTCATTGCTACTGACATAAAATTAAATATTACATTTTGATTACTTGCATATTCAATTGCATCTAATACACATATAGTTATACCCCTGCATGGACTGTTATAAATGTTCTTTTCATCTCTCAAAAGTTCTCCCTTCACATATCCAAATGCATCCATCTCAGGGTCTCCCCTCGGCCTGCTCACATAGCAGCACTTGTATTGAAAGATAAATGTGATAGGGAATGTATAGAAAAATACAGCTGGCCAAGGAGCAGGGGCAAAAAAGAGTGAAAGACATTCTGTGCCAGGGAAAGGGATGTTTTATGTGCAGGAACTATGGAGGCAATACCATGTGGGGTAGGATTTCTCCATCATTTGAAGGAATGTCATAAAATGTGTTAATCATTAAGGGAGCCAAAGGCTTTTGGATGCCTCCTTCATGTGTTATCTTTAAGTAAATCTGAAGCCGGTGCTTGTTCTGCTAGTGATTTCCTGTCTACAATGAGGAAAAAAGAGTTACTATTTTTAATTATGTTATAGTGAAACCCTTGTCAGGAGGGCACATTGCTTTCATTTGAGAACCGTTTTGCTGTTTTTATTTCAGGGATGTTAACAGCATATTTTATCAGTTTTGAAAGGTTTCCAGTTTAAGGTTTAATGAGGGGTGGGGTGAGGCTCAGGGGTAAAAGGGATAAAAGAGAATAGGCTGCAAAATTCACTATTTTCTTTGCTGGCCAGAAAGTTCTCTGTACTTTGAATTCTTCCTCTAGACCAGCGGTTCTCAACCTATGGGTCGCGACTCCTTTGGGGGTCGAACGACCCTTTCACAACATGAGGAACTGCAACATGAGGAATTGCATTAGGAAGGTTGAGAACCACTGCTCTAGACAAAGAATCAGAGGAAATGCGATATGTATCTTTTAGAATATTTATTAAATAATAAATAATTCATAGAATGCTGGTTACTTTTATATATCTATTTAACTAGAAAGAAGCAGACTCCCACCATTTATTTTTTTAAAATATATTTTATTGATTTTTTACAGAGAGGAGGGGAGAGGAATAGTTAGAAACATCGATCAGCTGCCTCTTGCACGCCTCCTACTGGGGATGTGCCCGCAACCCATGCCTTGACCGGAATCAAACCTGGGACCCTTGAGTCCGCAGGCCAATGCTCTATCCGCTGAGCCAAACCAGTCAGGGCAGACTCCCGCCATTTAAAGAGAACTCTCAGTTCATCTTTAAATTAAGCCTAATTGGTGTCAATCCATTGTTTACATTTTAAATTTTATTAATCTCCTATGTACATCCCTTTCCATGATAATAACTTCATCCAGCCGAAACCGGTTTGGCTCAGTAGATAGAGCGTCGGCCTGTGGACTGAAAGGTCCCGGGCTAGATTCCGGTCAAGGGCATGTACCTGGGTTGCGGGCACATCCCCAGTAGGAGATGTGCAGGAGGCAGCTGATGGATGTTTCTCTCTCATCGATGTTTCTAACTCTCTATCTCTCTCCCTTCCTCTCTGTAAAATATCAATAAAATATATTTTAAAAAAAATTTCATCCAAATATGTATCCTGAAAATTCTGGCACATAAACACAGTCATTTGTGGAATTATTCTTCTTATCTTAAATTTATTTTTCTGGGTATTCCGCTGAGGAGCCTAGTGGTTATCAAGCTTCCATCCAGTTGAGTAATGGTTATGCAGAAGAGGACAAAACTGTGAGCTTGGAGAGAGCACCATCTGCATCATGTTCAGTTGTGTAGTCCTAGTTCCTGGTGTGATGCCTGGTGTACACAGTAGGAGTTTGGTAAATGTTTAAGTTTGAATAACTGGGAATGAGGAATGCACCAATGCTGTGATTGACATGACCGATGCATTATTGCATTTAATCCTCAAACCCCTCAACTAGGGAGCACTTTTATCTCTGGTTTATTAATGGTGAAGCCTTGACAGGTGAGTTTTGTAGCTTGCCCAAGGTCATATAAGTCGTGGAGCAGGAATCTGAAGGCAAATTCTTCAGCCTTCTGCTACATGAACTTGCTTTGGCCACAGACTTCTGAATATTTAAACTTCTTTAGAAGGAAAGAAGAATTTTAATTGAGAGAAGTTGCAATAAGCTGCTTTGGCTGTCCCAGCACAGTGATTGGTACATAAAATGTGCCTTAAAGATTTTCAATGTATGTATTAATAGTCCGAGTTTCTGCTTTGGGTAGGAGATTTTTTTTGTTTTTTCAATGCCAACCTTTCCAAATGGGAAAAGGAAAGAAAAATCTTAACATGTATATTCTCTCTTAAAAAGCCTTTTGAGTGCATGGGAAGAAAAATCTCAGCCACGTGAGGCAGGGGCTCAGATGTGGATGCCCAGGGCTGTCGAGAGGTCCAATTACACCATTTATTCTAACAATGACACCAACTTATTTTCTTTTCATTTTCTACTCGGTTTTCGGTTCTAAGTTTAGATTTTTGTAACATTAAACCATTTCTGAAGCAGTTTCTAAGGAAACCTCTCAGGCGAGGCACTTAAGTCAATAATTAGAAAGTCAGTGTGTGCAAATTAAGTGAAGCAGGCTGTGTGCCGTGAGGAACAGATGGGAAGGGGCAGTTTCAGAGAGTTCAGCTAGATTGGCCTACATATTTTCCTCTTTCCCAGAGACCTTTGCAAGGTCCTCAAGGATGTTCAAGGTCAAAGTGTAAGAACAATGTTTTAGTTATCACAATGTGTGTGCCATCTCGGACCTTCAATGATCTTACAGCCTCACCTCACCCCAGAACTGCGCCTTCTCCTGATCCCTCTTTTTGCAATAGGGAGGGGCGAGAGTACCCCACACTTGGATCGTCTCCAAGTACTCCAGATCCTGCAATTATTTTGCCTGTTAGATTTAACTGAAATTGATGCAACCCTCTTCCTCTAACCTTGCATCACAACCAGTCCCAATATTTTGGGCAAAAAATTTTTTGTGTGCAAGGCAGGAGGGTAGAGAGTACTTCCCTGGTTTCTTGTGGCTCTGAATTCCTGTCCCTGCCACTCATGATGTCTCTCTCTCTCTCTCTCTCTCTCTCTCTCTCTCTCTCTCTCCCCTTCTCTTTTTCTCCTCCCCCTCTGCATTTGCTTCTTTTTACTCCATGTTTTGCTCATTTGTCTCAAAAAAAAAAAAAAATCCATCCTATTCTGTCATTCAGAGCAATTCAACTTTCTGCAGCCATGGCTGTAAACTTAACTCCAAGCCTACTTTCGCATACTCAAAGCAAGAAAAAACTTGCTGAGTGAAGTTTCTGTGCTCTGTTAACAGCATGAAGCACCCTCAGCTCTGAAATGACAGTTTCCTGTCTTGTCTATCTTGGTTCAGCTCAAGTCCTTGGGTAGGACTTTCTGCTTTGAAAGGTAGGAGGCTACAGGCAGTATTGTTTGTTTTTGCTCATGGGGAATACTTAATCCCCAGGTTTCTTGTTCCAGGCAGAGGGACACACATTAAAGTAACATATTTGGCCTCTCCTTGTTCCTTTGTTCCATTTTTTGGTCAACAGAAGACTGGGCACGTGTGGCCATTATCCTTCCTCATCAGCACTGGATGTTTGCCGGCTCCAAGGGCGTGAGTGCACATACTGCACCCCTTTCCCATGATGTCAATTTTAAGGGGCAGGTCCTTCCCTTTGAGAAGATGTGACGTTTCGCAGGCTGCCTGTGGCTGGATGGGTAAGTCTAATCCTAAAATTTTATGTATTACAAAGCATTTTTCCGCTGCTGCCCTAAGGCACGTTATCACATAGCTCCCAAAGTAACAAAGAGGACATACTGATTTCCATTTATTTTATTTTTACATGTCAATCTCTTAGTTAGGTTCAAACCCATGTGGAGAAAGGAGGGGCTATTTGTTGGTTACCTCAAACTCCATCTGTTTTAAATTGCATGCACGCACACACACACATACACCAACCACCACCACCACCAATTTTATGTTTCTATTTTAACCATTATCCTAAATCTGTAAGGCCTACCCCTAGTACCCTGCAATTTTAGAAGACAATCTAAGCTACTTCACAGGGAAAATCAAGCCAGCTGTCTGTTCCTTTCCTTTACGTCTTTCCCCTCTTTCCTCTAGCCTCAAAAGAGAAGGTGTTCCACTCTTAGGGTAACCACCTGACATTGCTTTTTACCTCAGGCCCTCAAGCCACAAGTAGGACATGGCTCCATCTATTAGCACCTCCTCTATTGAATCATCAGTTCTGCTGTGTCCTCTCTGCCTCTAAGTTGCTTAGGTGTCCTTCATCTGAAAACCGTTCCCATTCCCCGGTCTCCTCTTCATGCCACTATCCCTTTTTTCTTCTGTCACAAACTAGTGCCTTCAAAGAGCAGTCTGCACTAACTGGCACTTCCGAGTGTCAACTTCCGTCCCTTAATTCCTTACAATCAGGCTTTAGTACCACCCATCTAAGGGATTTATTCTGATAAAGGTTCCATTGAATTTTAATTACCAAGTTCAATGAACCTTTTCAAGTCCTCATTCAGTTTTTCTCCCTGCATCACTTAATATCTTTACCAACTCTTTCTTGAAATCCTGTCTTGGATTTCATAGTACTCAGTACTCCAGAGTCTCTGGAATCTTCTAGACTGGGCTGTGCATTCTGCCTCTACCACACACTCACTGTGAGGCTTTGGACAAGAGTCTTAATCTCTCAACACTTCAGTTTTACCATTTGTCAAGTAGTGGTAATGGTAGTATGTTCCTCATAGGGCAGCTGTGCAAATACAATAGAAAACAATGTACGCTAACCTCCTACCCTAGTCCATGACGCTAAAAATCTTCCGTTTTGCTGCTGTATTAAAATGGTTCTCCTGGTAAAATGTGCAGCTCTGTGTTATTCAGTCACATACATTTTTCATAATCATCTTTTTGAACTCTCAAAATAGTAAATTTGACTATTCTATCTGTAAAACATTCTCTTCTCTTGGTTTCCCGGACCCCTTACTCTCTTGGTTTTTCTCCTATCTCTCAGGCCACCGCTTTTTCGTCATATTTTCTGTCTTATCCTTCTTCAATTAAGTGGTTGGAGTTTTTAAAAATTCCATTCTCTGCTCATGTTCTGTGCTTTCCCCAAGTTGTTTCATTCATGTCCATGGAATTAGTTCTTATTTATAGTCTGATGACTTTCATTTATTTTTCTGGCTAGATTGTTCTCTGAGATGCACAGCCATATGTACATCCATCTACTGTGTGTCACAGGGCATCCACAATATCGATGTACCTCAAATGAAACTGAAGTCATTCTCTTCCCTCATCAAGTCCTCAGTTTACCCAGAGTTTTCTAATATCACTTTCAGAAATCCCTTCCATACCTATTAGATTAGCTCATGCTCCCTGTTTCAGAATACATAACATTGTCTATTTCTTTATCATAGTATACAACTCATTGTTTAATATCTTGTTCCCCAGATAATATAAACTTCATGACAGCTAATCTGTGTGTCTTGTTAACAACTAAGTAAACAGTCTGTAGTATTTTTACCTTAGATAAGTAAACATTTAATAAATAGATAAAATAATTTTATGTGAAAAAGCACTTAATAGAATTCCTGACATATAGCTATCATTTAACAATGCTAGTTTTACAAGTTCTTATTTTATTTTTCCCATCACTTCTATGCCCTCTTCCACCCCCATACCCTGCAATCACTATAGTGTTGTCCATGAGTTCTCTCTCTCTTTTAACAATTTCAACCACTATCTTTATCTCTTCCTCTCTATCCTTGGCAATATTAATATTTTCCAGAGTTCCTCTCTCTTATGTCATACTCATATAACCTTTCTAAGCAATATAATCTACTCTGTGGTTTTAAATATCCCCTATGTGTTGACATTAGTATAATGGGGACACTTTATTTATATTGAAAGACCAGGGAGATGATCTCTGAGGAGTGCCATTAAGTGCTGAGACCTGCAGGATGAGAATGGGCCTGATTCCTAGAGGCCAGAGGGCTACACAGCTGCTGCAGGAAATGAGGAGCTCTAGGAAAGGCTACCTTGGCTTTAATCAGCCATCAAGCACAGGCATCTGAAACATGGCATTCTAAATCAGTCCCCCATTTGCTGCTGCTGTTTCTTCTTGTATTAATGTTCCAGTTCCTCTGATTTGCTGAACAGTGTCACCGGGTTTGACTCTGGCTTCATCTTTTGTTGCCATTCATGCAGGTCATTCAAGTAAACTGCAGTGATTCTTCTACATGATGGGAGGAAAACTTCATCTCACCACACTCAGTGCTTATAAATGGCTAAGGTGAAAAAAACAAAAACAAAACAGTTAAGGTGGGACACATCCGTATGTTCTGGGCTCCCCATGTTATATCTCTCTAATTGGCAGTCACACACAACCATTTTTAACAAAGCAAAAATTATCAATATTATTCCCTTTCACTCTCAAAAATATCTTGATTTGGCTGGTAAGTTATAAGGTCACCCTTCTTAAAATTCACCCAACTTCAGTGATAGTGAGAGTGGAGAGAGAAAGGATTCTAATTTCAGCCCTTGAAATGCCTAAACCTATCCTCCCTCAACTGAGGTCCTGGCATTGAGGCAAGGTTACAAATCCTTGACCATCTCTTTCTGTCAATTTGAATGACTTTTTCGGAGCAGTTGCTACACTTAATAGATAGTTGGCCTCAGTTGGGACCGCCTCAGCCCTGCAGGGACATCCTATTTGCATTGAATCCTAAAAGGTGGGAAGAGTCTCAGTCTTTTTCACAGAGGGCAACACTCAATCTTCTAATGTGAATTAAGCGCCATTTCTCTGGTGTGCTTGAATTCTGTGTGCCAGGAGTACTGTTCAGCCAGTTCTGGAAACTCCCATTTTACCTTCTACCTTATATCCCAGGATTAAAATAGTCTACTGATGAGATTTAGCCAAGTATGAAGATCTGTCCAAGGTTGTAGGTCATCATCACGGAGAGACTTAGAAGCAGCTCACAACTTTTGAATGGCAGTTTCTTGAGCTTTTATTTACATACAATATATACATTATTACACATATGCATTCATGGATGTAAGCATAGAAACAAGTCTGGAAGCTTATTCATTGAGGGATACTATAAAACCTGATTGTTTTCAAATCAGACTAAAGAATAAAAAAACACATAATATTCATCATGGTGACATTTTCATCAGCAAACATTTTTTTGTGTACCAGCTGTTTGCTAGGCACTAATTGAATGGTTGTGTTTTTAAGTGACATAAACAATAAATGATGTAATTTAGGCAAAAGTTGAATCATTTTTGTAGTTTTGTAACTCTCTGATCAAATTAATTTTACATTTATCTTCCCACGGAGCATCATACTCACTTCCAGCACAGCATATATCACACTGTATTAGAGCTATTTCCATCCTTTTTTATTGCTTCTGCCAGGTGGTGATATCCTTGAGGGGATGTTCTATCTCTTTATAATTGAAATGAAAGGTCCTTATGACTTTGACTAAATTTACTGCTAAATCCTAGCTCTAAAAATCAGTTCTCTCCATATATACCTCCCCAGTGACTTATCCTTTTCTCTGGATAATCAGCATCCTCCAGACCAATGGTCATACTGTCTGGACCCCTGGCAGGCTAAAGATCACATCTTGACCTAAGTTATGTTTCAGCTCCTGAGCCTTAAGGTGGAATGGACCCCTGGCTACTTTCCTATGAGACCAGACAGAGAAATTCTGGAAAAAACCTTAGAACTGTACTCAAGACCTGAAGGAATGATTCATTACCCTTACCTCACCTCTGACCAATCAGCTCCCAGCATGATCCTGAACCCTTACCCAGAGTGTCTTGTGATTTTGCCCTATAGAATCTGTAACCTATACACCATCAGGGAGTTGGGTCTTGAGAGTCTACTAGATAGACGCCCTGCCTCCAGCTTGGCCAATTCATTATTAAACTATTTGTTTTCTTTCTATACTGCAAATTTCACTCATGCGTTTCTTTGGGCCAGGGGATGCAGGCAGACAGAACCAAGGAAAAACATTGGGTTCTGGAAACATAATGTCAACTCCTAGCTCAGTTCCTGGTCTATAGTAGGTGTAAAATTTTTCCTTACTTGAAGCTAGTTTCTTAATTTTTCCTTATATAAGTCAATATAGAGGTAAAATAACTGAGCAGAGTTAAAATCTGTGTGGAATGACTTCAGTAGCAGGCTAAGAAAAAAAGACAATTACAGAAATGATTTTCTAACGGAACTGAATTGAAAATAAACTTCCAGGCCTTGATGTAAAATTAGCTTGAAATTTAGAGAACAAATGTGTAAGCTTCAGAATGATTATAGGTACCAGCAAACTTATCAGAGTAGGTATATGATGAGTTTTAAATTTATTTTGAGTAAGAATCATGTTTTATCATCTCTGATTTGTCCATAGTAGATTAAAGTAGGTGCTAAATAAATGCTGATTTACATTTATCATAGAATTTGAATTAAATATTTTATTGGAAAAATAGTTGTTTTATGTTTAATGCTTATCTATTAATAAGGAAAACTACTGCTGATTATAAATAAAGCATATGTCTAGGAGTTAATATTTCCTTATGAGCACAGCAATTATTGTGTTCAATAAATATTTGGCAAAATAACAAAATCATATGACCATA